TAGGTTTTTCAAGGGGGGGGGGGGGAGTCAATTACAAGCCAGATGTAGACTGAAAAGTTCAGAAGTCAATGTAATGAAACCAAGGAGCTCAAACGAAAGCAGAAAAAAGAAGTGTCTCGGTGGGAAAGGGGGCGCCATGCGAGCCATACGACCGACAACTTAGTAAGACACCCGTCTTATCTTAGTGTAAACAGAGAGCGTAACCAGTTGTCATCAAGAAGAGATTCGATAGAACCTAGTCCCTGTTCCAAGTCGGAGTTTGCAGTTTTTAATGTGTGAAAATACCAAAAGTTCATCGTTAGTGCTATGCTGTGCTGTGTTAGAAGAGTTTGTTCTGAAGCTCTGCTATGTGAAGAAATTTGGAAACTCTAATTGCAATCATTCACCTATACAGACTCGTTACCTATACAAGGCTATGCAAAAACTGAATGATTACAATTCATCCACGCTCCATTACTTCGCCTCCTCGGCAGAAAGAAATATTTGACTTTCACAAAAGATAAAGTTTTCTAAATACAGAACCAGATTCGTGGTAAGCAGGAGTTTGGACGGACGACGAGTTCGGGCTAAGTTCGAATGCTTCTTCGAAGTATTAGTGCAGTTCGTGCAAGAAAATGTGGACAAACTGATCAGAACGATATCGGAAAGATCATGCTGATAAAGTTCTCACCTATTGAACTACTACCAAGCAAAGAAGCTTATCGAAAAATACTTTGTCAAGCTTCATTGATTCCGATGGGAATGAACAGTGCGGCGCCATTTCTCTCTGCATGTCTGAGTGAGCTAGATACACGGAGATTCCATGTAAGTCTGCTTTAACGTCGTCCCGGCTACTCAGACGTTCAGAGTTTTTGGGGTATCTATCAGCAACCCTGGAAACCGGCGTAATTGGGGACATCAGGAAGACGAGCTCTGTGGAAGAGTAATCTGCATGATAGTGGCCCTAGGCAAAGGTACAGGCAGATTTCATTCGACTGATCATCAGTCTACGTTGTACTTCGGCTGGGCACCGCAAGTGGCTATGTGGATTTACGTGCGTCCGAGGATGGTTGCAAATTGCGCGGCGAAGTTCGTAAAGATTGGAACGACTTTAACGCCAATCATTGGGGTCCAAATGTGAAGTAGAGTAGATCAGAAAGATCATCTGATCCTACCAAACTACTCTATCTCGAGTTTGTGCCCCGAAAATCGGCGTCAGAGTCGTACAAATCGTCACGAAATTTGCCGCGCAAGTTGCCGCGCGCGTCCTCGGGCGCACGTAGTGCACGTCCCCACCGCAAGTCATTGTATTGTCCGCACACGCACTGCATATGCCACTACGATTTTGAATGGAAGTCGAACGCGGGGGCGCATCCCTAAGACGGTATTGATCGACGCTCGGAGACTTTGTCATTCATCATTTTGAGTGAGGCCCCCTGAAAACACAAACAGTGCAAGAGTATCGAAAAAGGCATAAAAGTAAGGCGAAACACCCAAAGCATTTCTGGGTGCAGTTTCAATGTTGAACAAAAATCGATGTTCATTTTATTTATAAAAACAATGGTCCGAAGGTGCAGAAGTCGACCGCATTAGTCAAGAGTTTTGCTGAATATAGCTTGATTTGATTGGTCTTAACGAGGCTTGTTGAACTCAACTTGGCTACGATTATGGAACGCTTAAATATGTAACGACTATAGCAACGTCCGAAACAGGCAAGTTTATTTTCTTTCTCCTAAGAGACTTCATCTATCAAATAGTTGTCGTGTCCCAATGAAGAAGTAAGTAGTACGTTCACGGCCTTCTACTCTCCTTATTCAGACTCTATCGTACAACATTAAACTATTGGAATAACTCATAAGATAGCTGGTCACAAAAACTGCATGTGTCACGCTCTGAAAAGGTGACGTACTCTACAGCCATTCTGAACAACTCCTATCTCTTCGAACACTCTCAGCGACCGTTGATAACCGGACATTCCTTATCCTGGTCATTAAAGCGTGCGCGTGTGAGCAACGGTGACGTCGGCACAATTTCGCACATGAGTAATCTGATCTCTTGAAATCCACAAACAATTCCGATCCTGAAGGACATCTGCACGAGGCGTGGGAAGAGCATCTGGGAAGCTGAATGACCAAACGAAAAGACGCGTCCAATAAACCCTCTTCGTGTTATCCATCCGACATCGTGCATTGGTCACGCCCCCAGAAGCAGCAATGACGTCCGCCATCGTCGACCCCGCCTTCGAATACAAAAAGGCGGAGTCGGAGGGCGCAGCTCATCTGTCCACGGCTCAACGGTGACTTCGGTGACCAGACTGCGGGCCGCATCCAAACGATGAACCTGCTGCTACTACTATGCACACTTGGACTTGTTGCACTGACCGCAGCTGAACCTCGGCTGAGGTTATCCAGCGCTGAAGAGGACCTTGTACGACGAGCGAAGGTACTGCTCAAGAAGAAAGGTAAGCAGCTTTGGTTTCAATACGTGTCGATGGCTTAGAGCAGACTCTTTTTCCAGCATAGCCTTTCTGGACTTGAATTTGACTGGTGCAGGAACGTAAGCACAGTCCATAGGACGAAAAAATGGAAATGAATTTGTTTGCCAAATCGCATATAGGATTGTTTTAGAGCAGCTTTATTCCCGAGTGAGCTCTGTTCTTCGAGGGCAGACACTAAGATAAGAGTAAGTTTCATAACAAGGGCAGCAGGTTCACTCTTCGCGATGCTTTCAATTCACATGATTTCGAACCATACTCATACCGGCGTGCTTTACTTTGAAGCCCTACTCTACTCTACTTCCCCCACTAGAAAGAAATGACCAAGAAAGAAAAGAGAAATGAGCCAGAAAGAAAAAGAATGAACAAAATTAGTACCTCAAAGACGGTACAAGTTCGAGAAAGGGAACCCATATGTTCTTAGCCTGTAGAACGGTACCTATAGAAACGTGTTTCAATTAACTGATGATGCCCTTCGATTTCTGCTTTGAAATGGGCATAATTCTGCTTGCACGACCTGGAAGTGAAAATATCAGGTTTTCAAGAGACACTCAAAGCTTTTATGAAAACGATGCCCTTTTTGGAGTTCCACATTATACACTGTTTATCGACCTCGGCGGACGTTCGAGATAGTCTGAAAACATTTCGCTCACAATTGTACTCTTGATGACGAGGACATTCCTATCCAGTATCTAGGTTTCAGGTCTGCTGCTATGCGCAGTGAGGTAATGATTGCTGTTGACTTTGGTCAAGTGTTTCAAACACTAAGCAATAGAGGGACCATTGAAAATTCTGTAGCTTGCAAGTGGGAAACCTGTCTCGCCAACTTGAAAAGGCCACAACAAACTTGGGAGGAGTCTTTTCTATAACTGACTGCATAACTAGTTGCAAGAGCCAGTCCATAGAATTCACTTGACCTCTACCTCAGAATCAGGTAAGTTTAATATTCTTTCACGCAAAAAAAGGATAAAAGGAGGCAACCCAACTCCAGGAAAAATTTTCACTGACAGTGTTGAATTTTGGAACAGCTGGATCCAAATGAATGCAGTAGAGTCTTCGCAAAATGTTCATATTCGGAGTATGATCATCCTCCCTTTTGACGAGTTCCCTTCCAAGCTTGATGGCGCATAATCCAAATTAAAATCGCCAGATCGCTCATAAAATAGGAAATTTTTCCGAAACTCGCAGTGTGACCAGTCGTTCGTAGGAAGTGATTCCCTAGAGAAAAGGTAGTCTGTCTACGAGATAGAAAAGCAGAAATCCAAATTTTTCACCTGAACCAAAAACTGCCATCATTCCTAGGAGACATCACCTTGACCTCATTATATCATTATATAATAGATCCCAATGAGGGCCTGCCGAGCAGTTTATAGGCGTTGCCCATGAAATGTTTGAAGCCCAAGTCTTATGACTTCTTGAGAATAACTCGGAAGCTCTTGGGATGGGATGTACTGCACAGTAAGGAACAAGACGGCGACCTAGCAATTCACTGACGCAGTGGGGAGCAGCTCGCCACATATAATATTACAAAGAGATGGAGCTGAATCCGTTTCAATCAATTCGATCATCAACTCAGCTTCAGACTTTTGAAGAATCGTTGCACCATCTGAGACTGTTTTCTTCGTTATCGAACCCTCTCACTATGTCTGGGATGTTCGTTTTCGCAATATTTTCTCTTGAGAGCAATCGAGATCGAAATCGAGACAGCGTTTCTTAAACCAGCGGCACACTATGGGCAATGAACGCTGATGCTTAGCTCGTGCTACAAATCGGATTTGATGTTCAGAGCATGCCTGGAAATCTTCTTAACCATAAAAACAAGAAAATTAGTGCCCAGCTGCATTTGTGAGAAATGATGTATTTCGTAAGAATTTTTCAATGATTGGGACCTTTGTACTTTCAAAATTACGTGTTTCATCGCAAAAAGTATAATAAAAGGATGGAAGTGCGACTACAAAAACACGAGTAATCATCAGATGAACCTGGGCATTGAATAGGAAGTATACCGAAGGGTACTTTATTTTAGACTGCTAAATCAATCTCGAATGTTAAAATCAGGCACAACTTTGGGTTAACGTTCTCGGGTCCTACTCTTTTGCTTAGCATGAATATTCGAATGTTCCCTATATAAAAAAAACTGAGAAAATCCTCATTTGAAATAATTTTTGTCACACTCAGTACTGCGGTTTTTGTGACCGCCAAGTCTGAGAGGAATCACTAATGAAGCACTAGGACTGCCAGTGGTGATCGGATGGCTCGCTCCATTAGAATTGTAGTAATTGCCCAATAGTTCCATGGGTCTACGATCCCAACACTTCTGTGAATTTTACACTGATGCTTGGTTGAGATCATCTATAGAACCGTTTTCGAGCTTCCCCCGGTACGGATCAGCGTATTACCCACTTTTTAAACAAATTTTCAATTTTTTTTCTATAACGAGTTTGAAAATTGTGCTCAGCTTTTCCTTTCAGGAAACATGTGGGGAACGCCTTCAAAAACGTATGGTTATACAAATTTAGCAGAAAAGAGACGCGTTCGTGAACTCTTCGGTGAGTTTCCAAATTTTTAGTGGAATAGTTTGCAATATTTGGCAAATGAAAAGATACCGAGCACTCCTCTGAAATTTTATTCCTACGCGTACAATCCGAAGTTAATCCAAAAGGGGTAAGCGCTAAGAAAACAGCTCGCGTAACCTAAATGAAATAAACAAAGTACGCACAGGCTTGACATTGACAATCTCGACGACACGACATAAATTCTCCTTCAAATGAAGTCTGAATCTGATTGAAATGACTGACTACATCTCACTGATATCTTTTACTATTGTTCTTTTTCGCAGCTACGGCAGACTGATGGAAATACATATGCCAACCATAACATTACCACGTAAGACAATGGAAATTTCCATTTCTATCGGTACATTACTAAACATAGCTTCCTCCATTGATCTTATTGAACGGCTCTTGAATATTCTGGAGTAATGACAGTAAAAAATTCGTTTTCATAAGTGCTATTCTTTTTTCTCGAGAGGCGAAGGCCATCAGTGAGCCGTGTTGAATGAGGTCATAAGAACATATGTATTTTCTAAAACCCACTGGATGAGTGATTAAGGCCAGCTTTCTTTCTCGAAGAGAGGAGTGGGCAATGGGTAGCACTAATACTCAGAAATCACAAAAATCCTCAAGTGATTGATGGTTTATGGTTAAACTTGACCAAAGCTACAGATAGGAATTATCTCATGAAGACAAGCCAAAGCGTTCGCTGATTAGACGAGCCGACGTACATAGATGACCCATGAGGAAAAAGATTCCAACACCGACTAACGAGTAGGTCATTTCGTTTGGTTGAATATGGCTCGTCGTCATGAATACATACAACGTCATGTGGGGTACGGTAGAGGCAGGCAGCAGGGGCGTAATGTAGCGTGCAATTGTTGTGTTGGGCGGGATTCCTGTGGCGATACTCGGGGCTTACCCGGCATTATTGGCCATGGAATCTAACCAAGTATACGGGGACTGCTATACTGATTGCCTAATTGCTAAAGGTATCAAATAAAGGGAGACATTGTGGCAAAACTGGCCGATCTCTGACTAATGAAAGCGGTTTTAGTATTCTTCATAATCATATTATACATTAGGTTTATGGACTGCCAGGGAGTATCAAGGAAATGGAAAACGAGGCATGAGAGGATGTTGGAGAAGATTCACCACCATTGGATCCTCGAAACGATGCCCATTCCCATTCCACCGCTTTCGTCCGTGTACCACACGTCCTCAATCACTGCTAGCCTTATGCTATTCCTATTCGCGTTCATCGACCACCCATCACGGAATGAATTACTTCCCAATGCTCTGAGCCGATGAGAGCTAGTAAAATTACATATTTACATAAAGCAATTCCTCAGACCTTGACAATTTTGCGATTTGTTCCTACGGTTGGGTCACCAGTGAAATTCGGAGTTGGAAGGAGGTGGGGTGGAGGCAGCTGACATCACTGTCACGCACATGCTCCAACCATCAATTTGCCGATCAAACCCCGAGTAAATGCTGAGTAAATGCTTTTATAGTTCATGATGGTTGCTCAGTACGGAGGAACGGTTGCTTAGTACAAGACTTGTCTGGGAAGACGCAAGCTTTTATTTGCACGTCAACCGGCTCCCGCAGCTGACGTGGAAGTGAACGCTGTATAGTCCACTTACGCATTCAAACGCTACCATTCTGAAAACACGATGAATGCGTACGCACAACTAAAATTGAAATTGATCAAGGCTGAGAACAACTTCTTTATTCTACTCCGACTCGAGTAACGGAGTGTATTTAGAATTAGATAGTCATCTAAAAATCGAGTATTGAGGCATTTAAAGCCTTTTCTCAGACTCAGACTCTCTCAGACCTTCCCATTCAGTTGGTATGACGCGATTAAAGACAGAAATGTTTAAGCTATTGAACTTGCACTTCTTGAACACTTCGGCAGTCCCCTTGAAATCCGATGGCAAAATGTGCTTCAGGATAGCTTGATGTGCCAGGACACTGCGTGCCCGACGTGACGAGTCAAATTTCGACATTTCACTTAGAGCAAACCAAATAGTGTTGGAGGCCAGAGCTCACGCAACTCGTATTCCACACGACATCATTTCAGTCTCCAGTTTTGAGGAGCATGTCTCGAAAACTTTACTTTTTACAGGAAAACGATCTGCTATATCAGCCACTCCCGAAAACGAAGCGGAGCTGTCGGATGAACAATATCAACCGGTAGATGATCTCCTGATGGAACTGCATCGCGATCGACGAGGACGTGTACGAGAACTGTTCGGCTAAGGAAGCTATGAAGCATTGGATTGACTTTTCTCCTCATTAGTGAAGTACAGTTACTGACGATCAAAATGAGAATACCGTAGTTTGCTTCACTTACGTCGCACTGTGCAGTTTTGTATTCTAAGTCGTGTGTTCGGTTGTGCCCGCTGTGAAGGATATCATGTTGTTGATGTTCAACTTTAAAAGCGCTCAGAGCCTTTTCTTGCAGAACACCGGCGAACAATCCGGCATAAGTACGAAGTTATATTCTGCACTGAGTATATCCGTTCACGTCCCCTCGATCAGTGGATCCTACCTCTTCAGATGACAGTCGTTACGGAAGATTCACTCTAGGAATTCACACAATAGTTTACCATAGTGCCAATAATACCAATTATCACGCGTTCATGGCAGCATAAGCTTTCGAAATACATGACGAGCAATGGACGAAGCTCATCCCCGAGTGGTACTTCTAACAGTTCGACGTCTGGATTACAGTTTTTACCAGTTGGGCTACGCACGCTAACGCGTGCATCACATGCCCACTACCCTTATCTACGACTCGTTAGAAGACCAATATAAACAGTATCGGTTGACTTCCTCCATAACTGCTTCCTAACCGCGCCCACATGACATTCACACTCTTCATCGGCCTACGTGACTTTTCGTAGACAGACGCAAAAACCGACATACAAAGAGACACACAAAGTTACCACTTTATTTAGAGAGAGATCATATGATTAAAAAGAAAGTTGAAAAGCTGTCTGAAAGCCCGGACAGGTGGTAGTGTGCAGCTTGTCGCTCTAAGGCTTTCTTGTTTGCTCATACCACACGAGGAAATTGTGGTAAAGATATTGCGACTATAGCATAAACACGATTGCCATAATTATTGAAAAGCAAATCAAAGAATAAATCTCGAACTTACTCGGAGACACTTCTCCGCAGGCCGCAATGGAGGACTGAAATGGAGGCCTTCACATGTTTTTGAGCACTTTTGCGTTCATTCGAGCTCAGTGACTGGTACCACGGTAGAAGAGTTTCTGCGAAAAAGATGTGATCGCTGACGACTTTGAATAACCTTTCCGGAATCCACGCTTCTGACTCTAAAACACTGGAACTACTTGCGGCTATAAACAACAGTGATCCCTAAACTCCTAGTGAGTATCACTTTCAGTGGGAAATGGGGTAGTGCTGAAGGCCAGCCAGGCACCTGCTTTCCTAAGCCTCAGTGCACAATTAAGATCAAGTGCTCGGGGAAATATGCGGCTAACAAAGCTGATGTACCGATCCTATGGGTGCTAGAATTAATACAGCTTCGGTGAAGTCTAAGCTTCTCGGGAAATCGTTCAGACCACCAGAGCAGCGCCAATTTAAGGCACTGAAATATTGGCGAAATACCTCTCTACTTCCTCGAAGATAGAAAAAAAAANAAAAAAAAACAGAAAGGTAAAGATATCAATTTGACAGAGAACATTACGATCTCTGCAAAAACATGCACGGTGATCTAATTGGGTCGATCACCTTGAATATCACAATTCTTGCTAGACGTACATGTCACAAATCGATGTCAATCATTCTGAAATGAAGAAATTCCACAAAGAGGGTAAGTACACAAAATGAGCATAACAGTGCTTAATGCCAAAGTTGCCATTGAAAAGAGGTCATATCATCTTTACAATAGAATGTTCAAAAGGGAAAAGCGTAGGTTGGGACCTAGACAGTCGAGATACGATCCTCCTGAAGATTCGTGTTCTTTTCATACTCTACGGTTATGCTCCCCTCCAAACTCTCGTTTTTGAAATCTTTTCCGATTAAACGTCGATTTTCCACCAAAACCCCTGTTATCAGTCTCACATCTATTGTATAACCACCGGTAGTCGAAGAGAACATCGATTCGAAGGACTAGACTTGTCTAGAAGTTTTTTGAAAATGCGCGGATGGTAAGAGATTACGCCTATCACACTTGATCGAATTCCAGATTGATTCCACCATTTCAACATCAGATACTTACTCCGTCTGGGTCAGTGGAATGTTCACGAGCGAAATAATCCTCAGTCTTCTATCAAATGACAGAGTATGGGCACTGCATAGCGAACATATAAGGTGGGTATGTCGTAAGAGTTAAGATGTAGTCGACACTGAAAAAGTTTACTGAGCCCATGAATATCACTGCATCACTCACTTACTATCACTTAACATCACTTACTGTATATAAAGCGCTCGCGTCTGTCTGTTTGCATGGGAATTCATAACTCCTGTCCCTTGGGCCTAGAACGTTCAAATTTGGTAGGAGCACAAACGGCAGAATGGAAACACCTATGGCACGTGATAGGAAGACATCTGAAATCTGAAATGTGACGGGGTCGTATTGTTAACAACTGATAAGTACTGATAAGTTGCCCTCAGAAAGTACGACCCATCTACGAAATAGAACCCCGACGCAGAAATCAGTTCGGTATGGTCGGTAATCAGAAGGTATGTAGTTTTAGCTCTTCAGTATGTTTCATTATAAGACGGGATGGTAAAGTAGGGTGACAAAAAGTTAGTGGGAAGTGCAGTGATAGGGATCGATTAAAGCTGTTTTATTATGAAGAGAAGAAGGTTCAGTTCATCTATTGCTGTTACCAGTCGGGCAATGCATGCTTATGCATGCATTGTCACGACGACGGCTCATCCGTGGGCTTAAAACTTCTGCAGGTACTTTATCAGGTGATATGAAATTTCCGCGCAAACAGACAGACAGACAGACGCGAGCGCTTTATATGTAGTAAGGATATTATGACCGCTATCCAGCAAGGTTTGTGACTCAATGAGGGATCACGGTTCCTCTTTGCTTTTATATTATTCGCTACAAAACCTTTTCTACCGCTAAGAATCTAGGAGCCTCTACTAATGATATATGCTTGGAGAAAAAGTTCCATTGATAACATCCACCTATCCTTGCAGCCTGCTTCTCCTTGAGATATAAAGAGTCATTAGGCATTTTTTTCAGGAGACTTTGCCCATAAAGATGGGGAGCACATCCAGTATAACGAACTTTTCGTGGATAACTTCATCAATCTAGAGGAACAATTGACGACAGGCTGCTTTCATAGTCCGCCGGCGTGCCGGCCGAGGTAGTGCTAGGGAGGGGGAGGGCAGACGATCGGTCGACGTGGTCGCGCGCCCAAGCCCTTCGAATGGCTGAAAACAAAGAAAAACAAGATTGAAAACCATTCGCATAAGCCCCTCCGAAGGGCAAATGCCACCCTCCCCCTCCCTCGCACTACCTCGGCAGGCACGCCGACACGCCGGCGGACTATGAAAGCAGCCAATCACTTCCTTAGCCCTTGAGTAGATACTTATGGAATGAACCAAAGGAGACCAGAGGAATCCTGAAACAAGATATAAAATTGGTAGATTTGAATAAAAGTTTGATAGAGAATTTCCATGACAGAATTAAATGTAAACATTAGCAGATCAAAGACCGACCCAACATCTAGCTTTGTTCTCAAAGTAAACGATGTGTTTTCGATTTTGTGGACAATGAGAGCCAGTCCGTGGGCAAAAATCGGTCGACCATCTTGTGGAAAAAACGATGTGCGACTGAGTACATTTCGCTGGCACTGAATTAACATATGAACGTTATAAAAGAATGAAAACAACAAGTGTCGAGGCACTCATTCAAAAATGGGATTAAACTATAATACGTACGATATGTATCTAAAATTTAATAATGATGCATTATTGTACTTTTGAAACCCTAAGATAAACTGGTTGGAAGTTCAAGAGCCTATCAAATTGAAATAGGAAGATTCTTGAATGATATGAGTGTAGAATAATTCTCCACATCATTTCACTCTCTGCTTGAATAATCAAGAAAAGTAAAGACTATCATCTTATCATACAGAGATCATAGATCTGGACAAGTTTTCAAAAAAACCTTCCCTTTTCTAAGGGTTCGCGAGGCGTGCAAGTGCTTCGCTAATGCGGAACTTTGCTCGGAGCTTGACCTGAGCAAGTTGTAATCAATTATGACCAAAGTTCCATCTTCCCACACTGGTTCTCTTTTGAGAGACTATTCCTAGAACGATGCACGTCTGATGAAGCTTTCACTGACTGATACTCAGCATTTATCTTATCTTCAGAGCTCTCGGTTAGAAGATGAAATGGAAATACAGCTCAAAGCAAAGTTGTAATATAATATATTTGAAGTCCTCTCATTAAATGATACTAAAATCCTCCTTGCTGCGTATAACACTGATGTCATACCAATTCTGGAGTATAGCACAACAATTTTTACTCCGTCGAAACACCGTAATATAACTCGGTTTAGGCAGTTCAAGTAAATTAATTCTTTGCTGCCATAAATCACCATATTCAGATATCCGGGATTTGCGTCTCGAAACCGTCTTCTAGGTTCGAAGTAGCTTTCATTCAGAAGGAGAATATGGGATGTGATAATGGTCAGCAAAATACTCTGTGCCAAGTTGAGATTCGACTTAGTGATTCATTTGGTACATATAATGCCATCCAGCACTAGTGGGGACCATAGTAAGATTAACTTTAGTACAACTCGTTCAGGTCTTGGGCACCAATTCTCCGTAAATCGCGTTGGATCAGTGTACAGTCCCTCAACTGAGCTTGATTTCTTTCCTAAATCGACGCCTAAACGCCTATCTTAGTGAATTTCAATTATATTGTGCCCTTGTGTGTCGTTTGTTGCGATTGCATATTTGTTGTTATCTTGCAACCACACATGCTTGACATGTAATAAATAAAAATGAATGATTAAATAAAACATAGACAAATGGCGAAAGGTCCAACAAAAAAGCGGAGATGCACTGTCTCATCGAGCATTTCAACGAGCTGAGTGATGAGATCGGACACATTTAAAGCCCTTTCACATATTCGGTCTGAGGACCGCCATGGAAGAGTCGTTTACTGATTTACATACATATTGTCTGAACAAGTGAAGTGAAGCCTAATATCCTCAAAGATTTATGAGCGCACCAATGGAAGGGAAAAGTATTGATTGTAGCTGA